GATGCATGTCCATGACAATTTGTTCAAATCTGGTCAAGGATGGCCAGCCATCTGACTTTTTGGCCTTACTACTATATTTCCACAATTTATGTACCATTTTCATTCTTATTTGGCACATACATCATACATATCTCTGTGTTTCATAATCAGATCAAAGATGGCTGAATAACGGCTGTTTTTATTTTGGCCATATTACTATGACACGAAACATGTGTTTTCATGTAAATAAACAATCTGTTATATACGCCACTTGGAACTCAAGTTTCAAGGACACGCTTGCGACAACCCCTCCGCTTTAATATGACAAGCACAAAGAGAACTTAACGGGGACTGTGTCATTTTCAATGACTTGTTTATTGAGATATTAAGCATGGGACGAATTACAATATTTTTGTTATTGCTAAAAATTGATGCAGTTGTAGTATATATTATGTACAATAAAACATCAGTTGTAATATTGTCAGAGCACAGTGTTCTGGGTATTGTCTGTCAATTGTATCGTGATCGTTATCATATCTGTCATGTCTAAAACTTGGTACTATCCTAATTACAGCATTTATATTGTTTTCTATTTAGGACCCAGTAGATATCGCTGGCATGTCACCTAAGAGGAGCTATGATGGTGAACCAATAGAATATTCAAAGTGTAAGTTGTTGTACATGATTCTAATAATGTAAATATGTATGTCATTATTTTAGAACACCTAAGGTATAGAGTAGACCGAAGGTCATAGTGCTGCAGTGACGTTGAAATGTAACATGGGATTCAACAAATTAAAAAGTATTTAGGCAGTATTTCCACGCTTAATAATGTGGTATATGCATTTAATGATGATTAATTTTGGTGAAAGAACGACTTTCCTCTCTGAAATACCAGCATTTCGACATTGAGCTATAAAATTCAATTTCTAAATCAAATCACACAATACACATGATCTTGCAGTAAACATACAATTTGACATCGCCTTCACTTCGCATAGCTTCTTCTTTTACTTCTTACTACGCTTTACAAAAAGTCACGATAATATATTTAATTCATATAAAATTAGTACAATTATCCCAATCATGTAACAAGGGGACACAGTTATGTTCTCAAACGATCCAATTTCAACAGCATTCGAAATTGATTTAAACTAGTTTTTTTAAACACCATTCTAATCAAACAAATTTCAGTGTATAATGCTGTAGCAACAGTAAAGTTAAGCTACGTGAACACAAACAGAAATGTCGCTGATGCTACATTGTACCGATGTCAGACTTTTGTTTATGCAAAATTGAAGCAAAGCAGGTCAAATAAGCCAAAGTCTATGCGACAACGGTACTGTATGTCATTCCATGTTAAACATGTATTTCTGTTTTCATACAGTTAAAAAACAAGTGAAAGTTGTTGAGCTGAAAGATTTACAGAAAGAATACATGTTAGTATCGGCTAGATTAAAACTATTTCAGTTTGATCATACTACTGGATTAATGACAGGTAAGTAATAGACCATTTTCCGTACACTGCGAGAATCACGCGTTATGCGTGAAATCGAACGTAAAAACAGGACAAACAAAGGTCATAGTGTCGTAGTCGCGCCAAACATCGCGTGGGATTCGACAAACGCGAAAGTATTTCGGGGACATTTCCATGCTTAATAATGTGCTGTCCACATTTGATGATAGGCAATTTCGATTAAGTGAGGGTATTCGGAAGCAATATTCCTCTGTCGAAGATCGGCCGGTCAATGTAAGCTGCGAAATAAAGAAATTCTAGTTCAAAATCAAATCGTTTGATTTTTGCAGCAGACGTTCGACGCGCGTCTTTCATGCATCTCGCGAGATCTCGCAATTGTTCAGAAAATCACCTATTGATACATTCATGGAATTTATTACATGGCCGCATGATAAGTCAGTTTTAGATGTGGTGCTTTTAAGATAATATGACAACCAATATTTTTTTTTCTTTTTTCCTGGACATACATGTATTTGATTTCTATTGTAGTCACATTAATTCGACCTCACCTTATACCTTGATAAAATTCAAATCCAGCAGCCTTTGGTGCGTTCCATGGTAAATGGGACACAAAGTCAAGACACATTTCTATGTGAAATCAAACCTGAAGTTGTGTCTTTTTTTTTGTCAGTTGAGTTACATCTACATTGTATGATGTGATATAACAACAAGATCTATTGATTTAAATTGGAAATTGAGTTGCAAGTTGTTACAGTAATGCTAATTGATGTATCCAGCTTTTTTGCACTGCCAATCAAATCGTTCAATTTAACAGGGGTCAAATACACCTTTTCCTAACACAATCAGGCATGGGTTTGTAGGGATGGCCAAGGATGGTTGGCTTCAGGAAAATCGTGTGAATCGGATAAATTGAAAGCTAGGAGAGTTACTGAAAGTGTGTAGGTGAAATTCTACCATAGTTTAAGCGTAAGCGTTTAAGTGTGAAATAAAATAAGTGCTGGATTTACCACTATTTATTATATGGGGGCTGCCATCTTGAAATAGGCGTGTTACAAAGCATCTTTTCAGGATTTTTACAAAACAGAGTAAAAATACTAAACTTTCACAGACAAACTATCTGTTGGGGGTAACATTACACCAATAGGTAACACATTTCCATTTTATTTTATCTATTATTTGAAGAGAATGTATAATAAAATTAAATACATTTTTACTTGACCTCATTAATAGTTGCCAAGGAGCCTGTCACAATTGGAAAGCATATTAAATAAAACAATATTCCAATTGAGGAAGCAATGCTCAGATTAAGTACAAGACAAATCACTTTGGTTTTCAAGTCCACAGTTGATATTCATGTGTACCTTTTGGAAGACCACACAGTCACAATAGTATAAGTGTTACAAGTGACTGTTATAAAATCTCTCGCATTTTCTAAGTCAACCAAAATTTATCTGAAATTTAAATTCAAGTCATCAAACATGACATTGGCTCGAGAAGATTAATACAATAAAAACTGTTATCATTTTCAGTTTTACATTTGATTGTCAGTCTTTGCAATGATTGATCATTATTATTTCATTACTGTTACTGCTTTGTGATAAAATATGGCGACAGAAGCAACATCTTCATTATCATTCCTAGGTCCTTCATTGTCAGCTGATGAGACTGTTTCGTTACTAGTACAAGCTGGTCTATTTGACACTGCTATATCTATATGCGGTACATTTCATTTGTCATACAACAATGTTTTTGATGCGCTATCTTCCAAGTGAGTATTTTTTTATACCTTTTGGAAATTTAAAATTTATTTAACTATTCAATGTAGATTGCCTTTAAAATTCACTTTACCAGTCAAGCCATAAGTACATATTGATTTGAACATCATGATTCATATAAAATAGCTGTTATCAATAAGTATTGTGTTTATTTGTTCATATTCTTAGGTGTATTAGGATTTCCCCTATAAGCAGTGATAGTGACGCCTGGAACTGGCTGAGTGCTAATGACACAAGTCACCTACATGCCACTACAGAAATCAGGTACAAATGATAACTTGAATGATGCACCCTCATAAATGAAGATAAAATTTAAATCTCTGATATTTGGTATTTGAAAATTTCAAAGTTTGAAATGGTGACTTAAGGTTTAGGGAGATGATCAAAATCAAACCAGTGGTTACTGATATTCGTGGAACTGCTTTGTCCCCCAGGGAGCTCTGCGCGATATGCAAATTTATGCAAGAATATTCATGAGCTGAAAATTCAGTGTTGCACCTTGTTTTTGCCTTGATATATCACCATTTAAATTTGACAGGTTTCAATTTGTGTATGTAAAAACGAATACTGTAGTTGTTAGAGTATTAACCCCTGCTTGAATATAAGCCCCCTCCCCTCCAAATTCACAGCATTTTACAACAAGCCATTTATCCGATGCTAATCGATGAAGAAACTCTAGTATTGTACACATTACGATTTGTTTATGAATAAATCAGCAAAAATTATCGCTCATGAGAAGTTTTAGCTTTTACCCGTTTATAAGCGCCCCCGCCCCCATTTTTCGTCAATTTCCTGTTTTCCTGGAGGGGTTTATACTCTGACAACTACGGTAAGAACGAATTCGTACATTAATTACAATGTCATAATCATTTCAGGGCACGTGAATTAGCATGGAGATTATTAGAGTCCTACTTAGAGAAATTAGACAGCAGTGGCAAAGATGGGTATCACAAAGTCGTGGTTAATAAACTACTGTCATTAGGTGTACCATTACCAGCATGGATTGTACATTCATATAAGGTAAACCATAATGTTTACGAGAATACTCTGATCACTAAATAATTTATCCCAGTCATTTATCTTTGTTGATGCAGCTTATAAATGTTTCTCTCTACATATAGGTTCATATATTTTTGATTTTGCATAATTGATGACAAACTGTTCATATTTCTTGTAATTTTCTCAGAATTATTTGAAGACATGGTGTAATAACAAAACTGTGCCCCTCAGACCTGAAGTTGAAATCAATGACCTTCAGTTTATAATGTGGTATAATAAATAATAATAATCATAATCATAATAATGATAATAATAATAATCAGTCGAAAGTAATACATGATTTGTTTATTTTGTTCAACAGAGGGTAAATGCAGCTGAGTTACTGAGATTGTATATAAATTATGATTTATTAGAAGAAGCTACTTATCTCTCAGTGGAATACATTGATGCTGTGCTCGGAAAAGGAAAGGAATATTTTGGTCTCAGGGTAAGTCCTTAACAATTGGAAAGACTGAAATGAGTGGTTTATGGATTTAGTAGACTTTAAATCTATTTGTTTGTAACCCTCACAAAATTCTATCCATGTCCCGAGATTACATTGGTGTCAATGTGAAAAATGTCACATAATAACAAAGTGATTATAATTGTTTTTCAACTTTTGATGTATGTCCCTGCAGACTGGATTACAGGCAGCATCTACCAGTGTATGGTTACCGTATACAGCCATGGACCAGTTACTAAATGCACTCAGAGAATCAGAAACAGATTCACACTTTCAAAATGTAAGTCATTTGAAAACAAAATCCTATACAGCTACCATGGTAATATGACTACAAAATATGAAGATCATAATTAACAAACTAAGTATAATATTTAATAGTCAATTTTGTAACCAATCTTTTCTCTGAATTTAATGTTGAACCAAACCGATCCACTTAGATAGCAAAAATTCTTTTTGATTGTTGATCAATCTATTTTTGCGAATTTGATTTTGAAAAGATACATTTTGTAGGAGGTACCAAAAGTTAACAATGACGGTCAAAAGATGCTAATTACCTATAGCAATTATTATTCATAGACAGCATTTTGTGGAAGATTACAAAAGTTAACAATGGTGGTGAAAGTATTATTAATATGCAGACTACCTAATTAATATGCACAGACTTACAAACAACTATTTTGTTGAAAGTGACAAACATTTATAGTGGTAGTGATAGGGAACTATTTTGTTGAAAGTGACAAACATTTATAGTGGTAGTGATAGGGAACTATTTTGTGGAAGGTGACAAACATTTATAGTGATAGTGACAGGGAACTATTTTGTGGAAGGTGACAAACATTTATAGTGGTAGTGATAGGAAACTATTTTGTGGAAGGTGACAAACATTTATAGTGGTAGTGATAGGGAACTGTTTTGTGGAAAGTGACAAACATTTATAGTGGTAGTGATAGGGAACTATTTTGTGGAAGGTGACAAACATTTATAGTGATAGTGATAGGGAACTATTTTGTGGAAGGTGACAAACATTTATAGTGGTAGTGATAGGGAACTATTTTGTGGAAAGTGACAAACATTTATAGTGGTAGTGATAGGGAACTATTTTGTGGAAGGTGACAAACATTTATAGTGGTAGTGATAGGGAACTATTTTGTGGAAGGTGACAAATATTTATAGTGGTAGTGATAGGGAACTATTTTGTGGAAGGTGACAAATATTTATAGTGGTAGTAATAGGGAACTATTTTGTGGAAGGTGACGTTGTTGAAATAATGATAAAAATAGTTACTGCAGATCAAAGATGACACTTGTTTGATGTTTGCTGACTCATTTATATACTTCTGTATTCTCTAATTTTATAGTTATACCACAAACTGAATGATAAACTGAAGGCATACATCAACACAGTTGAAATAGTATCAAAGGATATGGAGGATACAGCAAGGCGTCGTGCTAAGCATGCTATTATGCAGTAGAAAATCTAGTTTGTGATGCCCAAAGAACAGTTCTGCATAATACAGTGATGATGCCCAAAATGTAGTTGGATACAGCAAGATGTCATTTTTATTTGGAAGACTATTGTGATAGTATTCAATTTACTGATATGAACATTGTTAAATGTATATTATATTTCATTCAATATAGTGAATGATACTATTCATAATGAAGGCACATCCTTCTACTTTGAATCAGTTTTGGGGATCTTTACGATTAGGCTGTTGCATCATGCAGCAATTCAACGATTACTCCAGTACAACATTCTGCAGATCAACCATATTATTTTGACATCACTCTTTAGAAGACATGACATTTATTATCTTTATATATATGTACATCCATGTCATAAGAAGCTTTGATCTTTTTCTCACCTTGCTATATAATAAATACTTAAATATCTGTATTTGAATGCTCGTCTTGGGTGCATGTAGAATTTTCTGATTTTGCAACAAATATACGGTATAAATGAAAAATATATTGGGTCTTCTTTTTGAAAACTACCACATCAAGTACTTTGATACTATTTTGACATCATAGTTTAATGCCAGTTTCACCTGATGGCTGATACAAAAAGCCCCCTGCTGGATCTGGGATCCGGAAGGGGGCTTATAAATTGAGTCGTGTCCGTGTGTTCATATATGCTTTATCAGGTTTTTATCACACCTGTCATTTAATTCAGTTGGTACAGAGACAGATATAGGTGTACTTCAATTTATTTTTTGATTGAATGAATCTTTACTGCTAGGCGGCTATTTTTGGCCTCAAAAATCTATAAAAAAAAAAACAAGCTTTTTCTAGCAATTCTGAAAATTCATAACAGAACTTTAGTACAGCTCATAATGGATATATTCACTCTGACACAAACCCAGTTCAATATCAGTTTTAAATTGCTTTCTGAGCGAGGGCTATGATGTGACATGTCATATAAAACGATAAATTAAAACTATCTGTTTTGTGTTAGTTTTTATAAGTGCTTCATTGGAATCGTCAATGCAGGAATACCATTCAATACATCTACATTTTGTTGAAGGTTCATCTATATGTCATAAAAACCTTGTCAAATGCTTGGTCAATATTTATTAAATCTTGTCTATGCTTCGTCTACATGTAGTCTAAACCCTGCATGTCAAATCAGAAAGTCAGAACATAATTTTACAATTTAGAAAGAATGTAAGATACTAAAAAAGTATGTGAATAGCTTTTATTATCATCTATCGTAATTAGCTGATAAATGTTGAAGTTGATTATACAAACTTGGTTTATGAGATTACAATACTACCAAGTATAACTGTTGTACAAAACATTGTCCAAGTTATCTTTGGTATCTCTTAGATATTAAAAATTAATAAGACATATGGGGCTAAAGAATTTTAACCTTTGTCTCCCGGCCCGACTGCCAGAGGGTGTTTCGGTTCTATCAATAATTCTCTTTTTAGCGCCTTAGTAATCAGTGTGTTCATTCCAAGTGAACTCAGTGAGCTCACTCTCAGGGTTGAATTGTCATTCAAAGAGTTTTTGACTAAAGGATCAATGTCTGGGAAGGTCACAATGCAGCAAAGGCAAACAGAAAACTTGTTAGAAGGTTATAAACGGCAAGCAAGTGTGATTGGTGGCAGACCCGGAGAAATATAATTTTAAATAGCTATTAATTAAAAAATGGCAATCAAGTTAATGTACATCTATTACATTAATTGATGTAAAGCTTTTCTCTGCTATAAAGAGTGCAAGCATAACAAGCCTACACAGACAGTAGCTAGCAAGATGGTTGGTTGGAGCTATAAAATATATACATTGAGGTGCTGCTGCTTCTCTGCATAACATCTAGAGGATGGCTAAGTTTTTTTATTGCACCATGTCTTACTCTACGTATAGCTAATCCAGACCGTATCTATTTAAGGGCTCATGGTTACCTTTCTCCCATTAGCCGGACCTATTTAATCCCGTCCGGAACTTAATACACTGACTTAAATAAGTAACTAAATCGAGATCACACAACTGAGTACTGTTCATAGTGATTGCAGGCCTCTAAACAGGTAAACCGGGTACAAGTACTAATACAAATTATTATTGCCAAAAATTATATGTGGATTTTACACACAAAAAAAATCCTGGGAGTGCTTTGCAGCCAGTTGAAAACTTGATTAAAAAAGATCGACATTGAGATTGCTTTGGCCAAGTAATGACCTAAATTTTGCTAAAATGGTCTAAAATCATAAAATTGGAGGGTCTAATACTATGGGAGTACTGGGGAAGACCCTCCAAGAGGAACTTGTGCCTTCATTTCAGTCTACCGTTCAAATCGAAGAAGTTATTTTATCGATATGTCAGCCCCTTTTACTCGGCAGGCCTGTCGTATGTTTTGTAATGCAAAGAATCAAGACTTAAAACATTTTACCCTTTTCGCTTGTTATCGTTTATTTTTGTGAAATAGTGTATTATGAAGGCTTAATTTATCGTGTTCTTAAACCGATTCTGCGGTACCAGGGTTCGGGGAATTCGCCACCTTTTCACTGAACAAAACACACAGAGAATACGTGTCAACTTCTAAGTCTTAGTCGCTCGCCAAGAACTCACCAAGACAGAATGCCTCAGGGAAAGGTCCCCCCCCCGAGACTGCGTCTGTCTCAAGACTGACTCTCTCGTGGTGAGCTTGTAAAGACTAACTACAGATCAGTTTTATTCACTTCTCAACTCTTAGCCAATCACAAGGAAGTATAAAGACTATAAGGCGTAGCCTTCAATCATACAGCCAATCACACGAAGTGTTTAACACACCATAATATATGTGATTAATTGCCCCTTATGTCGGGACATATCTTCTACATTGAAACCGCTAGTTTATACTTATAGGCGGCACTAGAATTAGAACAACATTTCATAGTTGACATTTATATCCGCCAGTTGTTCCACCCACTAATCTCCTAACATACGAATGAACCTGATCATGACAAGTTATGAGCAGGTGTGGGTTATCCAGGGGTCATCAGTGAATATCGCTACAATTGCCAAAAGCGGGCTCACATCCAAATACATGGAAATATAAATCATGACAGTATGGTCGGTATTACCGCCGGTTCAATGAAATATACAAGAATTGTTTTTCGAATTTGCCACCCCTCCCCCATATGAGTATATTCTATTTTTAGTGCGTTTTAGTCCTGGAATTAGAATACGAAATCTACACAGCAGGTAAATGTTAACCCTTATAAGTATAATGTCACACAAATAAAACCAAAAATCCACTTAAAATAATCACAATTTTAAAATCATAAAATTCACTATTCCAGGGCCAGCATTACACATACAGACTTTTTAAAGACATTTTCTCATCGAGGAAATTAAAATAAGGGTTTTGTGACAATTAACCAGACGAGTAATATATGGCGTGCGCAACAGGTGACGTAGGTGATCACTATTTTTGTAACGCCTCATTTTAACATTTACTAGTTAGAATCATGGGTAATGTAGCTATATTGAGAGAAAGAGCATGGGTAATTATAGCCATACGGAATTATGTAAATAGTCCTATTGAATGAGGAATCATGATTAATTGTGTCCATACTGAATGATGCATCATGGGAAACTGTAGTCATAACAGAATCATACCTTATAGTGGGTGAGCTAAAACGATGCACAAATGCTTGTTATATTCAAATGAATTATTATGAGTCATAGCTATATTTATATGGTGAGTGATATGATCTATACACAGCTATTGGTCTACAATATATCACAGAAGAAAATTGTCTACTTCATTGATATTTGACTGTGTAATTTATAGTTATCGTGTTTAAGGTGAAGCAATCTCAAGCAACATAATACTTTTTACAAAAGTCTGCAATGCGGGTACAAGCTTCTGTTATGTCAGACTGTGGAACAGTCAACACCACTCGAAAGAAGTTAGGATACTTGAAACACTGCAACAAATCAAATTGAATTATCATTTAGAATAGAAGATAAGAAATACTATCATTCTTACAAGATATTAATTTGAGATGTTCAAGATCTTTGTACCCACAAATGTCAATTTATCATCATATTGTGAAAATCAATGGCAATAAACCTTTGATGACAATATGTGCTGCAATATTGTTGAAAAAGAGAGAACCCTAGACTGTCGACAGTCCTCGTGCCGAATTTGTTAGTATACTAAAACGGCAAATACCGCCTTCGCTGAAATGCATTCGGCGTTTGCTGATTTAGTAAAATAACAAATTAACAAATCCAGCCTAAGTTTTTTAGAAACTTGTAACTTCGTTTTTGTTCATTTGGGAGTCAAATACTTACAATATCGTGTATATAATATAATGTATATATTGTGTTTAAAGGTGAACAATGGAACAACAAGAATAATTTGTTTTTGACATAGTTCATTTATTTTATATACTCCAATGGAGGATACATGAATTCGTATGTAAGTTATTTAGTTAGAGCCCGTTAGAGCAAGCACACTACCGACAGTCACTCTACTAGGAGAGTGACTGTGGACTACCGAAATGTAATTTTACTCAATGATTTGATGCCACACACAAAGCAGAGAAGCAGCTACAGCAGTTGCATTAAAACCATACAAGAAGTTACTCGTATTTAAAATTTGGAGTAGCCTGAAATTGCTGAATCATAAAGCAGAAGCTAAGCTGCTGAAATGTGTTGTTTAAGAAGAAGTTGATGCTGAGATTAACACGATATAGGGAACTAGAAGAACAAAGGGTGTGCTCCACAATGAAAAAAGTCAAACTTGCAGTTATGTTAGAGAAGAGTTTAGAAAAGTGATTACATTTGGACAGATAAATCCACTGATACAACCTCCTAAGAAAACAGAAACCTAAACATAACCTCCAAACCAATCCACATAGAATACCAGCCTGCTGTGAAAGATAAGTTCAAGATATCTTGCAGCTTTCATGGAACTGAATTAGCAATATTTGCAGAACACTGTTTGGTTTATCCCGATTAGATTACTAGAGGCATAACTCTGACTGAGAAATTTCACTATTTGGAAATACATTTAGACGGTCCAGTCCAGGTCTAGCAGGGTGTTTTCTCCTTAGAAATGAAAACACTTAGGAACCCAAGGCAGTAATGGAGGAAATATACGGAAATCCATTTGCAATGCAGTATTCAGACATATAAACTCACCAGTCCCGGAAGACACACAACACACTAACATACCTGTCCCGGCAGACACAAAACAGACTGGTCACTGATCATCTTCTTTATAAATTCTATATCGTCTTTGAAATCAGGAAACTTATCTATTTCAATACCGATCTGTAAGAGAAAAAAATCACAAGATTTCAAATGCTTTACAACAATCTTTATTCAATGCTCAGACATTGGTATTTGGGATGATGCTAGTACTATGTCACGTGGCGGAAGATGCTGCACCACTACAGCGTTTCAAAATTCACAGATTTGATATTAAAACAATTAGTTTCATGATTTTACAAGTTTACTCGGATTTAATTTAAAGTCATTTATCGGTGAAAACTGAAAACGAATTCAAAACCCAGACGAGTGAGTAATATATGCATATTAGTAAAGTAAACCAATAAACCACATCTGAATACGCGTATGTAATTAGCTACGCACTCTAGGGGCAACTCCCTTTGTTTCGTATAAAAGTGTGAATAAGTTGATCATAAAAACAACAACATGCTGTCAACATTATTTGACCACTGTATTGCCTTGCACCCATGTCTCAGCACTCTCTCGCTAGAGGGCACAACCTAATGGGAAATCGAATGGAGGTTTATCTCACCATCATGTACATTGCTGCACGTGGCATCACAGGCTGAAGACCAGGAATCTTGCACATCTCCCTGTACATATGATGTGCATTTTTCTTGAATGAAAAGATACATTTTATATATTATTTTTTGCAACAATACAAGAAATAATGTTACCATGTCAGTAATGTCTGTTTGTGCAATAAGGAAAATACAAAATACATCAGGACATTTGCTGTAGAAATAAAACAATATCTTGGAACAACCGCACATAGTATTTACGTAATATATAGTTCAGTTTAATGTTAGTAATAATGTAATGATCCAAAATACAATACATACAATTATTGGGCTATTTTATTAGATATAATCATATCATAACAATATAATAATCAAAACTTCGCATGATGCTGAAAAATCCATTCTTGGCATACAGTAAAACACAGAATATGTTGCACGCCATCGTTTTCCCGTCATAATGCTATTGTAACAGTTTTACATGTTACTGTATTTATGATTCATTTGTTAATTTCGAACCAAACGGTCACATTTTCCATTAGCTTTGTATTGTGGTCGTTTTGGGGGTGGAGGGGGTAAGGGTTAAAACTAGATGGTGTTTATATGGTGAACTTGCTGGTTGACACGCAATAGAATGAACAATATATTGATAAATGCCATTTGAGTTATTTGTCTACTCACCGCCACCGCTTCAATGATGCTGGCAAGAAAATCTTGCGGCGTATCTTCAAGAATGCTCTTTATCGCTGACTGGATTAAAGAGTTTGTTCGAACAACACGCTGTGATAATCTCACCAAGGCACCGCGGACCTGGAAAAAACATGGATGGAAAAAGCCATAAAAGCTTGATAACACGTAAGCAAACCTAAACGTAAAATGGAGAAACACACATACATCACATTGAAGCTATGACTGCCTGCATTTGCCTGACTGGCAGTGTTCATTTCATATACTCGATTGCCACAACACTTGTTTATATGTCATTTTTATTGGTCTCAGTTAGATTCAGCGGGGATTATATGACCTTTATTAACAAAAAGCCGAAGTTGACAATGTTAATGATGAAATCGTCTTTATCGCAGCAAATGCCCAGGGGTGGTACTCCAAGTCAGACCCGGCACCCATGCTGAAATAAACAAAAAGCCTCTAAACACGTACTTATTTTTGTGAAATTATACCCCTTTTCAAGTGCAGAAACTTAAAATTATACTTTATATACATACAAAAATCATACTGTTTCCCTCCAGTTGAGGTAACATAAATTAACACCCCTAGCTTATCGTCTATCAATCATTGGGCGGGGTGTCTACAATATCTACCGTACATACTTTCATTTCTTCACTAACTGTTTGTTTTAATCAGCATATAGAAGTCTCAATATGATATAACACGGTGTCTGATTTGCCTGTGATGGAGGCAGGTACACATGGTGCAGTCTTCATCAATAACAGTCATCAATAACATTTTTGGAATTAATGTGTGCTTGAAGAATGTTTACTTCTTTAATGGTCTGATGCTGCACGCCATCTATGGCTCGGTCTACAAAAAACTATCTTAAGATACATCAGCTAGAAGAAATTGCTTCGATCCAGCTTGTACTGGGACCATTTTACAATCAATTCACGAAGAAGGTTAACATTGAAAGCGTTTTGTCATCCACAATTACTCGTTGACCAATCAGAAAGCTCCCTTTGTTGATATTGAAGTAAACTCTTACCGTTATTTATGCTTACAGTAGAGATGTTACGAAACACCTAAAACTTATTTTAATTGATAACATGGGTTCTCGAACGTGATGTCCGTAAAGCCAGTGCAGCCTTGTCAATCTTTTGCAAATTATAAAAATTCATGAAGATATTACTTGATAGCGTATGATAGTGTATCCTGTGGCGAGATTTCAATGTGTGTCAAAGAAACTCATAACAAACAAGAGGGAAATACTGACTTACCTCCTTCTCAAATACATTATTTCGGTCATGTATTATAATCCAACCAAAACGCCATCCAGGACAAAAATACCTGTAAGCAAATAAAATGTACATTTCTTATGACACTGTGTGCCTCTTAAACGGGATCACCATGACAAATGGAATAAATATATGCATGAAATTGAGCTCATTATCATAAGGTATTCCCCACCTTTTAGAAATACTGCTGCAGGATAAGATCGGTACTTCCGATGTGAGCCCTGCTAGATTGTAATACCTTTCACCAGGGAACACAAAGCTTGCATATATTTCATCTGACACTATTGGAAGCTTATGTTTCTCAGCAACTGAAATTGACACAACGATGATGGTTGAAATTACGGACAGACAACTGAAAGTGGCTAAGGGGTAGCATATTCAAACTTGGCACACATGTGACATGTGCATCAAAAAATGCCAAAGGTCAAGACCACAGTATATGTGTATGTATTATCGCAATCATACTCTCGAAAGACAAAATGGAATTGCTTTCAAATTCAAATTCAGACAACAGGGTCGTAGTATGCGTAAATATAGAATAGAACGCAAACAAATTCTTAATGATTAAAAACTTTATATTTAACTTTATATATACTGGCTAGATTTTGAGGTCAAGGGTCAATGCCACAGGGTTACACACTTTTGGTTTATGTAGCCATAAAAGTACTATGGCTCTGAGTTTTCTTGGTTTCCACACATGACTCTATTTACTGTATAAATATATCTGTATCTAGCATAAGTCACTCTCTGATCTTCTGCTTCTCGTAGAAAAACCCACACTTATCTCATTTTAATTTTGATAATAATATTCCATATTTGCTATATTAATATGACGTACGTTTACATAAACGACAAAGGTATGACAATGTACAAATTAGTCATATTTTACAATTTAATAAAATGCATGTGCACTTTTATTTAGAGATGTGATTCCAATAGAGTGTATACAGTATATATCTGTTAAATTCACCTTTTAGTATTTGTAGCAGATGTTCTCTAGAATATACTGAACCACAAGGATTTGACGGGTCATTAACAATAATGAATGTTGTGTTGTCATCAATCTGCGATTCCATGTGTTCAATATTTACTTCCCAGTCTTTATTGGGCTGTAAGAAACAAAACAAATAGTAAAAATATTATTGTATTTGTGCATAGTACACCCCATGCATTATTTAATGGGAAGCATTCGACATAAATCATATTCGGGATAAGACATTGTATGCATTGATGGTGATTATGTATACCAGAGACACTATACTGCACCCACGGCATCACCTATCAGTGAATACAAACCAAGAGATGTATCATCCAAAGTGCGGTAAGAAATGTGACAAGGAACACATGCCCAGGAGTACTATAAATGAGTACTAGAAATCAAATAAAAGTTCTCGTTCCTGACTGATTGGGCATTCTTTTTTTAGCCAGATACAAAAAGTATCACAATATATACCAATGAATGGAGTAATAAATTCGGTTCCGATGACGGTTCGAACATCATTACAAGTCTGCTCTGCTAAATTGATCCAGCACCCACCCCAAACATCAGACATGACAGCCAGATAGAGCAAGACACCCTTCATCATAATAAAAAAGAATCAATCCTGTAATTTTGAACACCTTCAATCACAGAGCACGGATATGGGATTTCATTGCCTTCTCGCCTTTTTGACAATAAAAGCCATGTAATAAAAAAAATGTAATAACAATTCATGGACTCAGTCCGAACACGGTGACTTATGGATTGACCTCTGTGTGTGCGTTCATGCGTCCGTGCATCTGGACCTATATCTTAGACATGCCTGGACCTCATACATAACATTTACATATGCACACCAATTCGTTCTGATCTGATCTGAATCAAGTTGGCTGAATCAAGCATTTCTCGGCTGTTTGCAGATGAATGAATTCACTTGTCAAAATCAATTGTTTTGATTTTTTGGCCAAAAAACGAAAGAATTTATGGTTTTTAATCAATACCAAAGAGACTGGGTTAGAACTAACATAATGTCTGGTTCTGCACTGATCTGATCTGAATCAAGTTGGCTGAATCAATCATTTCTCGGCTGTTTGCAGATGGATGGGGGAATGTTACTACAAAATACGAATTGCACTGCACACCTAGCTGTACAGTCATCCACAGCACTATGAGAATTAATGAACATGGTGGAAATGTTTACATATGTGAAGACTGATGTCACACGATGGTCCAGACCCATACAGCGTCTTCTAATAGATCTAGAATCTTCCTTTATGAAAGAATAGTCGTAAGGAGGATTGAATAACATACACAAAGACACTTCAGACCCATCAGTTGGAAAGAACTGAATGAGATTCACAAAATTCACAAAATAAAGGCTCTACTGAGATGCAACAATGACACAAACTTAGTATATCCCACAAGAGATGGTCCCAGTTACCACTTCTCCGTTTTGCCAAAGAAAAACACCTGGTATGTGCAGAACGACATACACCTCAATTATTAACACACACATCCCTGACTCAGTAACAGTTCAATGTCACTGAATGGCAGATCCGGCGACTGAACCAAAAATGGGTCGTTTGCCAATTAGGTTTGACAGCATTGATGTATTATTCCTTCAAAACGCCGGCCGAATATACCAGATATACTAAGGGTTTACTGAACTTGCTTAATGTAGAATATTCCTAGTTGACCTAATTTCAGTACAGTCACCTTGTGGACTAACATTATTATAGGTCTAAAAACCAAAGGTACATGTACAATAAACCAGCTGATTCATCTAGCGAGATGCAGTCTTTGGGTCCTGCCCCCGAATTTTGCCATTACTGCTGGTATATGCTCGGGGGAAAAACAACCAGAAATATACACATATGCAAATTGTACTAATCCACAGATGCAATACACTACACATGAAAGCTACAGTAACTAACTGGCGCCATTTTATCAGCTGATGGCTGAAATCACAACACACGTTCTTATCTTTGTTATCTCAAAATTCTCGTCGCAGATTGGTTCCCATCGAGGCTATGCTAGACAGAAAATTACGAGCACATACTCGTATATTATTTTGTTTATTCATGTTAGTGATATTTGTATTATATTGTAGATAGAATGTTATTTGTTCAATCATGTCACATTACAGTAGCCGAGTATTTCCAAAAGTGTAGTACACTGCATACACTTGTAAATTTAATAATTTTAAGTAATAAAGCTACTATATCGACATCTTTATTATAGGATTGTCTGTTTTATTGATTCTAACATGCAGTGTTTTATTACAAAGGTTCAATATATCGAATTAGGCATAGGTAATTAAACAAATGTACTGCAATATTTGGCGGGAATGTCACATACCATTATGTGGTCCATTAGTCTTGTTGTTAATCACTCCCGCCAAATTCATACTATTGTTTGGCATAGTTTACATGTTTCATTGATGGTCGGCTCAAATGCATTCTAAGATAAATAAATAAACACGACATGTCCTACGCACGTGTGTGGCTACGCGTAGTCTCGGACACATATTGAACGCACACAATCGCGACTACTGTTAAATACATGCCAAGCTAACTGAAATTGTCTGATCACACATAGATTGTCATACATACCAATAATTCGTATCGTTTAACATCAACACCAATTGAGCGAGCAACGGTTTCATAGAGGGAGAACCCAGGTTTGGGTATGAGACAGTTCTGTCCTGGGTTCGCTAGCACGGATATAATTTGATGTAAGGCATCTGAGCAACCACTAGTCAAAACTACATCCTATGAAAGAAACATACTAGGCAGCTTTCACATACTAATATGAGTGTTGTATACATGCAGTACATTATGAAGTGTAGACTTTACACATACTAATATGAGTGTTGTATACATGCAGTACATTGTGAAGTGTAGACTCTACACATACTAATATGAGTGTTGTATACATGCAGTACATTGTGAAGTGTAGACTCTACACATACTAATATGAGTGTTGTATACATGCAGTACATTGTGAAGTGTAGACTCTACACATACTAATATGAGTGTTGTATACATGCAGTACATTGTGAAGTGTAGACTCTACACATATTAATATGAGTGTTGCATGCATGCAGTACATTGTGAAGTGTAGACTCTACACATACTAATATGAGTGTTGTATACATGCAGTACATTGTGAAGTGTAGACTC